AATCTGTTTCATTTTGCTTTCAATTTTTAGAGATTCAAAAAATTTCACTTTGTGGTATAATTATATTAAATATTTACATAGTTCCAGAGTCTAAACTAAAAAAAAATAAGGAATAATTAAACACATTTTTTTATCCCTATTTTCCCCCTGCCCTACTCCTTTCTCCTACAAGTAACCATTTGAAAAATTGTGTGATTTATCATTTCATTTTTTAAACGTGTTTAGGCAAATGTATACGCATTCATTCTTCCCATTCCTGCTTAGATAAATTGTAGTCTACCAAAACACTTTTCTCCATCTCGTTTTTTTCACTTAATAGAATATCCTGGTGGTCATGCCATTCCAATACATAAAGATTTTTCTCATTTCTCTTTATAGCTTTGTAGTTCTGCAGTTCATACATGTATCACAACTTATTCAGCTATTCCCCTATTGATGGACTATTGGTTTTTTCCAGTCTTTTGGAATATGAAGAATGTAGTTATGAATAGGTCCATGCAAACTTCTTTTCTTATTTTTGTCTGTATGTTTGGGACAAATTCCTAGAAGTGGGATTTCTGAGTGGAATACATGTGTAATTTTGCCAGATATTGCCAGTTTCCCTGCCATTAACACTTGCACATTTTGCACTCCTACAAGCAATATATGGAAGTGTACACTTCTCAATACCCTCACTGAGTGTTGTCAAGCTTTTGAATTTTCACCACTCCTATACTAAGAAATCATATCTTACTTGTAATTTTTTAAAAATGTTTATCTAAGGACATGTTAATTGATTTGAGGAAAGGAGAGGAGGCAGGGGGAAGAAAGAGAAGAACATTGATATGAGAGAGAAGCATCAGTTGGTTGCCTCCTGCACATGCCCTGACCAGGGACCAAACCCGCAACTGTTTGGTGTATGGGACAAAGCTCCAACCAACTGAGGCACTCGGCCAGGGCTCACTGTAGTTTTGACTTGCATTGTTCTTATGAGGGAGACTGTGTGCAATCTCTTTTCACATGGTGAGATTTTTGCTTTGTGAACTTCTGACTATATCTCAATTCAGTTTTTCCATGGGATTTTTTTTCTCTTTTATACTTTAGAATTTTTTTATATCCTAGGGATATTAATCCCTTCTTTACAACAGATGATGCAGAATTTTTCCAAATTTGGAATTTTCCTTTTCATTTTGTTCACTCTGTTTTTTATTGTGTAACTTAAACTTTTTGTGAAATCAAAATAGTTTTCCTTTTTGCTTCTGGAGAGGAAAGTTTTATTTATTCCTAAATTGTAGAAAAGTTCACTAATTTCTTCTTTTTACACTAAAGACTCTAATCCCATTAGGATTTATTCCAGTATAAATTATAAGAAATGAGTTCAAGTGTATCTATTTCCATATGATTACCTACTTATTCTACTATTGTTTGTTTAAAAAGCCACATTTTACCCACTAATTCATAGTGCCGTCTTTATCAGTTACTGTATTTTGTTATATATCAGTATTTATTTCTTGACTTTCTATTGTATTCTCTTTGCCCATCTGCTTATTCATGTGCCAGTACCACTTGGTTTTAATGATGGAGGCTTTGTAAAATGTTCATTTATTTGATATGGATAGCCCCATTTCTCATTGCTTCTTTTTAAAAGATTTTTCAGATTATTCTTGTTATTCCAAATAAACATTATAATCAATGTCTGGTTCCAGTTTCTTAAAAACTAAGATATTTTTATTGGTATTGAATTAAATTTATTCAATAACTTAGAGAGAATTGACATTTTTATCATATTCAGTTTTTGTACCTGAAACCATGATATATCTTTCTATTTGTCCAAGTTTATTTCTGTATCTTTCAATAGTATTTTATGGTTTATATAAGTTTTGGACATTTCTTGTTCACTCTTAGGTATTTTCTTTTTTTCTTTTTTAATTACCCCTTTATAAAGGGATCTTCTATTATAGCTTCTAAGTGGTTTTGCCTATATACAAAAAAGCTAGTGATTTTTGTGTGCTAATTTTATGACCTGAGGTTTTACCAATTTCTTTTATCATCTGTAGTAATTCTTCTATTGGAGAATAACATATTTAAACTCATACTAAAATGAACACATGGTTCTGCCATCAAGAAATGGAAAGAAAATTGTCTTTAATTCATTATCTGTACAATGGGTACTGAACCTCTTTTATTTTTCAGACTACTTCCACTTGGAGCCAACCAGAGTAGGATTAGGAAAGGAAGAAAGAAAGTTGAGGCATTTATCTGGTTTCAGTCTACATTGGAAGATTCCGGAGATTCTCACACCTTTTGTTATTCCTTGATGCTCCCCATGTGGACCTCAGCTTCCAAAAACTCTAGTGGTAGATCAGAGGATGAAGGAACCTCCTGGCATATGCCCATCTTCACAACGGTAACAGACTAATTAGAGGTTTTAAGTTTCTCAGGACCTTGCTTTTAAGGTATAAACTTTCCTTTGCCTGCCGATGGAAACTTATAAACTTATATACCTCTATTCCCACAGAAACTCCTTGTTTCAATAAGACAGGCCTAGTCACTTTTCACTCCACACTACTCTTTTAGAGGTGCAGTCCTTGAATGTCATCTATCACCTCACATTTTTGTGTCATTGGAAGAAGAACTCCTCCTCACCCCCCACACATTAATTTCACTTTCTTCCAGCTCTTTTCCTATGCAACCTTAAGAGCTTTTCTGCCTCACAGAACTTTTATTCTATTATAAGATCTAATTTGTATTACTTTGTTTATTTACTTTTTTCTTCACTTAAGAAAAGGGTAAGATTCATAAAGGCTTTTTAATTTCTATATGTCAGCCCTGGCTGGCATAGCTCAGTGGATTGAGCGTGGGCTGCGAACCAAAGTGTCACAGGTTCGATTCCCAGTCAGGGTACATGCCTGGGTTGCAGGCCATGACCCCCAGCCTCTTTCTCTCTCTCTCTCTCTCTCTCTCCCTCTCTCTCTCTCTCTCTCTCTCTCTCTCTCCCCCCTCCTCCCTTCCCTCTCTAAAAATAAATAAAAATAAAATCTTAAAAAAAGTTCTATATGTCCTGCATCTAGCTCAGTGCCTGACACATAATAAAAACTAAATTAACTTTTATTCCAGGAAGGATGAAGGAAGAGAGGGAAGCATTTGTGTTAGCTCCTGATCACGTTCTGTCTTTTCCCATCTCTGTATCCAGTGCTGATCTTGAAGTCCTGCCACAGACCACTTCTATACTTTTTTGCATTTTAAGTAATGGGTTTTGTACTCTATGTTGTAACATTTTTCCATCTCCACTTCCAAATATGCTAATTAACTCTGATTGTTAAAATGTTTATATTCTTCTAATCTAAATTAATAAATATACTTGGCTAATCATTGCTACAGCATATTCATTTCTATTTTGTGTGTTTGTTATTGAGCAGAAACTCAGGGTGTAATGAGAGTCTTATTCTTGGAAAACAAAACAAACTCGTATGATATCCCTCTTCCATGTTCTTTGTGAATATTTGATATCTCACGTAAGACTGTGACTCTCATGCCAAGTGAGATACTCTTTTATAAATGTGTATTATATTTTAAACTGGATGCTTCTTGATAACTTAGCAGGAAATACATTACCTTCAACACTAATAGACTATTAGCATTAAACTGTAAAAGTTAGTATTTCAGAAATATTTGTTGCAGACGAACAATTCCATCAATGTTTCTGCTCACTTTGATAAGTATCTCGTAAGAAGCAGTATAGTGAGAGTTTGCTCAAAGCCTGATCATTATAAATTAAAGTACTTAGTATTGTCTATGCTCCTAGTACATTTTCAGTAACAGAGCAATGCAAAGTTGAGTAATACTTATTTCCTATCTTCCAGGAAGTCACAGATTCATGAAGAAAATAAGCAAAATTTACAACTAATGAGAATATAAACCAGACTATGTGGTGTTTCCCCACCCCCCACCCCCACCCTTTTTAAAGCCCCAGTTGTGATTATAAGCAAATGCTAAATTAATGTGAAGGTTGAGTTAGGACTGACTTCATAAAACTAGTGACATTTGCTGTGGGCCTTAAAAGAAGAATAATATACAGAAAGATGAGAAAGAGGGCCTAAGCAGAGGGAAGAGCAGGAAACAAAGGCAGAGCAGTAAGTAAAAACATCACACATCTGATGTGCCCAAAACGGTAAGTGGAAATGGAGTAGAAAACAGCAGACATAGAGCCAAGATAGGAACACAGGGAGAGTGGGTATTTTTAGTGTGAGAAGTGGAGGAAATAATGAGAGATAATAAGTAACAGCTGAAGGTATAGAAGTGGATGAACTAGCTTAGGAAGAGTTGACTAGAAAATGGAAAGGAAAAGAACTGAGGAAGCAGTGTCCTGGTTTTTATTTAAGGGCTCAGCAAGGGAAGAGGAATCAGCAATCGTGTGGATGGAAAATCCATTGAGAAAAGTATTGAGATTTGAAAATTCATATTATTTTTTTAAAAATAATGGATTTTATTTTTTAGAGCAGTTTAAGGTTTACAGAAAAATTGAGTACAAAGAGTTCTAATATACTCCCTCCCTGCCTCAGTTTCCCCTATTAGTATCACATTTGTGTGGCACATGTGTTGAAATTGATAAGCCAACATAGACACATTATTATTTACTGAAGTCCATAGTTACATTATTATTTACTGAAGTCCATTGTTACATTAGGGTTCACTCTGTGGGTTGTACAATTCTATTTTTTCTTTTATTGTGCTTCTCGAAGTTCTTCCTCACTTTAGAGAAACACCTTGATGAGTTTATTCATATTCTATTGTTCTGTATGGTAATATTTTATAGTCATATTGAAATTTTTTTGAAATCAAATAACTTTTCTTGAGGATGTCTTCAATTGTGGTTTCATGGAGCTATTTAACATTAGTCTCCAAAATGGATACAAGAAAATAAAAAGTTGACATATACATCTAGTTACACTTCTAGTATGTATGTATGTATGTATTTTTGAACACGAGAACATTTATCGTGGGTCTAATCAGTGAAATCCTTAAGATGAACTGGACACTGCAACAGCTGCCCTCTTGGGTTTAGGTGTTGTTCCTTCATGGAATCCATGCCTGAATCTGCAGTACACAATTTTTAGGTGCCTCATGCGACCAGTCCCCGTAGTGTTTTGTTGTTTAGCCTTGGCACTCCAGTTATACTTCCTCTTCTGCTTGACGGGGTAGCTGCACCTGCCACAGGTGGACTTCTGCAGGTGGCAGGCCTTGGAGCCACAGCGGCGGCACAGTGTGCGCATCCTGTTGCGGTGGTTGCCGAACGATGACGTCCCTTTCGTCATCTCGCTTCTGCCGCCGATACCAAAGTATCTAGTATTTTCTATTTCCAGTTTAAATATGACCCATGGATGTCACATCTCTATCTCCTTTTTAGAAGTGGTTTATGGATCTACTTGAAACCTTAAAAAAAAGAAGTGGTTTTTATAGGAATATGGACACCAAAATATTATTGGTATTTACCTATACATGGATTATGAGTAATTTTATTTTATGCTTTATACTTTTTATATTTCTCTAGAAATAACACCAATATGCTTTTTAATTGGAAAAAATTATCTGTTAGAGACAAGTATTGAGTTGTACAATTTTTTTTTTGCTTTTGCAAAAATATGGAGGAAATATCTGTTATATCACAATGAAAATATGTGTTAACAAAAGAACCCTTTACAGGAGTCTTCAGAAACAAAAAAGGAAAATTAAGGCCAAACAAAAAGTCATATCCTGGCTTAAAAGCATTTTATTTCCAAGGATACAAAATCTATTAACTTAAACAGTAAGACTATTGTCTGTTATAGTACCAAATATATTCCAAATGGATAGAAGCCTCCAGCTGTAAATTGATGGACTTTTGTGATCTAAAAGCAACTGAGGATTTCTACTCTTTAAGAAACCATTTCTCATGTTACAGCAATTGAGATTATGAACAATGTATAGAACAGATTATATTTCACTTTCTTTATTTGCATGGCTTGTTGAAAGTACGTTAATGCTGTGGGAATCCTTATTCCATTCACAACTCTGAATATGTACTTATGGTATTTATACATCTAGAGTTTAATCAATCACTCTGGTCACCATCTGTACATGGATAGTTTTTACCCCAAGAGCTATTTGTTCCAGTGTATTGTTTTGACACTGTACACTACAGTTGATTCAAACAGAAGTAAATACCAGTCTCAGGTTTCATGCTGCAGGGTAGACTGTATTTGTGAGTATATATTATTCACTAAATTGTGGAGTTTGACTATGATGCTGCTGCTGATGAATTAACTATTTGAGTTGGGAAATCATCAGGAATGTGAAAAAACTACAGGAGGAAGGATGGCTAGAAAGAAAACTAAAATGGGAGAAGGTTTCCTGACAATTTTGAGAGAGACAGAATCCATGGATGACAGTTTTCCCATCAAACGGGAAAGGCATGGGAATGCAGCAAGTCTTATACAATGAATAAGCACCTATAGATGCACAGCTGGAGGAAGTCAGTCATATCCACAAACTAAAAACGTTAGGAAGACAAAGAAGTGTCAGTGTAAAGTTATCTTTGAGTATATTCCACAGAATGATGATGAACTGGAGCTGAAAGTGGGAGATGTTACTGATATTTATGAACAGGAGGAGTGGAACCCTGAACAACAAGTTGGGGCTGTTTCTCTCATGCTTTGTGAAAGACTTAGAGGTAACAGATGATGGTTTAACTCATGAAGCCCAGGAGGATTCAGAAGCTGTTGGGACTGGGCCTACCTTATCTTCCCCCTCTCTGGGGAATGGGAATGAAACTGTACCTTGATCAGTTACACAGGCAAAGAAAATTCAAGAAAATAGATCTGGAGATATTTCTAAAGAAGTCTCTGTGAAGCTTAAGACAAGAATATCCAGTGAAACAGAAGAGGGGGGAAAAAAACACACAGAAAAGACCTTAATGAAATATTTGCTAGAACTCAGAGCATGGAGATAATAAACGCAGACACTGAAAGCAAAATTAAAGCTGAGGACTACTGTGAATGTTATTTACCTATGACAGTACTAATGAGGATGAACTTAATATTTTAAGAGGGAGAACTGACACATTTGATAAACAAGGAGACTAGACGCTGGCTGGTGGAAAGGTAAAATGAATCACAAAGGAGTATTTCCAGATAATTTTGCTATTCAAATGAATGAGCTGGGTAAAGACCTTCCAAAACCAAAGAAACCACCACCTCCTCTTAAGGGTAGAGCCCCAAAGCCTGAGCTGGTATCTGCACAGAAAAAGTATTTTCCTGTAAAATCTGAAGAAAAAGATGTCCCTTATTTTTCCACTTTTAGGAAAAATTTTTTTCCACTTTTGTTGTCATTCTGAAGAAAAACATCTCTCCACAATGAGTTATTTACACTGTTATTTAACAAGTGTTCAATATTTACTTTGCAATGCTTGGTGTTTTCTGGGAGGAAGTACTTTGTTAAGATCCATAGGAAATTAAGACAACTCAAACTGATACCAACTTACATTCATTAAAATGTTAAACCATTTCTTTAGTAAGGATGTAGTATTTATTCATAGTTATTTCAAATAATGTAAAAGAAAACTAAGCATAAATAGTTATGCTTTTACTATTTCTAATAGTGTCCTACTTGAAGTAAATTTTAAATTTTAAGAAGAAGCCCTGGCTGGCATAGCTCAGTGGACTGAGCACAGGCTGTGAACCAAAGGGTCACAGGTTCAATTCCCAGTCTGGGCACATGCCTGGGTTGTGGGCCAGGTCCCCAGTGGGGGCCACATGAAAGGCAACCACACATTGATGTTTCTCTCTCTCTTTCTCCCTCCCTTCCCTTCTCTAAAAATAAATAAATAAAATCTTTAAAAAATTTTAAGAAAACACAAATAACACAACTGGTGCTCTAAAACAAAATTCAGCCCAATATTTTTGACATTTTAAAAATGAAATCTAATATACTTATCACTCACCTTGAGTTTATTACACAGTCAAAGTGAAAGCTCAGGAAAGTAAGAATGAGAGATTTGGGTAGAAATTAGCACCACTTACGTTACAAAGTATCTTAAATAAAATTAACTGAGACTGAAGAGTTCAACTTAAGAAAGTTACATAGACTTAGAATTCCCAAAATGTATCAACCATGGTTGTTGACTAATATTTATGGCCCCTTTCCATTTCTATTTTGTTGTTTCTTTTCAATCATTGTATAGTATAACTTGTTTAATGTTTTTTCAAGGATTAAAGATTCAAAAACAAACTAAACAATTTAAAAAGAAAACTTCTTTGGATTATAGATGCAACCTAGAAATATGAGCATATGATATAGAAAATCTTTACAGTTTTAACTTTTTTTAATCTTTGCCTGAAAATGTGTTCATTGATTGCAGAGAGAGAGGAAGGGAAAGAGAAACATCCATTGGTTGCCTCCTGTGTGCCCCACAACTTGGGATCAAACCCTAGGTATGTGCCTGACTGAGGATTAAGCCTGCAACCTTTTGGTGTACAGATGATGTTCCAACCAACTGAGCAACCTGGCCAGGGCTGAAAACTCATTTTAAAAAGTTTGACAAACAGCCTCCCCATAATCATAACACTCTTCACCAGATTAAAAAAAAAAAAAGCAGGATGTATTTAATTTTCCTCCAAGTCTTTTCATTGTTTCATACCTCATGTCTTTTTATCATTGAATAATATGCCATTGTCTGGATGTACCAGAGTTTGTCCATTTGCCTATTTTTTTAATTTAATTTATTTATTTTTATAGACAGAGAGGTCAAGGGGGAGGGAGAGGGGGGAGGGAGAGAAACAGTGCTTTGTTGTTCCACTTATTTATGCATTCATTGGTTGCTTCTTGTTTGAGCCCTTGTTGGGGATTGAACCTGTAACCCAGGTGTATCAGAACAATGCTCCAACCAACTGAACTACCCTGCTGGAACTGTCCATTCACCTATTGAAGGACATGTTGGTTCCCTCTAGTTTGGGTACAAATATATATAACATATATAAACATTCATATGAGAATTTTCATGTGGACATATGTATTTGGGTAAACACCTAAAAGACTGTAACTGCTGGATTATATGTTAAAACCATATCTAGCTTTCTAAGAAACTACTGAACTGTCTTCCAAATGGCATCATTCTCCAGCAATGATGAGAGTTCTTGTTGCGCTATATCTTCACCAGCTTTTGATATTGTCAGTATTTTGGATTGTAGCCATTGTAATAGATGTGTAGTACTGTCTCATTGTTTTAATTTTCAATTCCTTAATGACAGGATGTTGAGAATCCTTTGATATGCTTTATTTACTACCTGTGTATCTTCTTTGGTGAGATAGGTGCCTGTTCAAGTCTTTTGTCCATTTTAAATCAGGCTGGTTGTTTTCCTATTGTTGAGCTTTAAGATTTCTTTGTGTATTTCAGTTATGTCCTTTACTGGATGTGTGTTTTGCAAATATTTGCCCCTGGGCTTTCTTTTCATTCTCTTATTGCTGTCTTTCACAGAGCAAAATTAATTTGCATAAAGTTCAATTTATCAATTTTTTAAGTCACCGAGCATGGCGTTGGTGTTGCATCTAAAAACTAATTGCCAAACCCAAGTCATATAGATTTTCTTCTGTGTCATCTTCTGGAAATTTTACATTTTACATTTTTTTCTATACTTAGTATTATTTGTTAAATAAGTTAATAAAGGCTAATGGTAACAGAAATGGAATGGATGGGTTTGGGTGGGAAGAAAATTACTGGCTCTATAGATTTTGAAAGCACAAGCATAAAGTTAATACTTAAAGCCTGTTAGGGACTAATCCAAAGAACTAAGTTGCCAGTTAAGACATAGTTGAGACAGTCAGCTGATCGGAAGGGCATGATGCAAGATAAACCAAGGGCAAATAGGTCAAAAGAGAGACACAAGGATCTAGTTCATTGATGAGAATTTCAGGAAAGGCAGTCCAGTACCCTGGAGAGCTCCCCCAAAGAGCCCATGTTTTGAAAGCCTGTAAACTTTCAAATGCCTCTACCTGACATCATCTAAATTTTCTCATGGGTCACTGGACCAGAAACCTATATCACTGCACTACATGAGTTTTAAATAATCCTTTATCTATTACAAGGATAGAAAAATTAGGAAAAAGAGGGGAACAGACAGAAGAAAAAATCTTACCATGTAGAGATAATCATTAACTATACTAATTATTAACTGATGACAATGGTGAAACGAGATCCATAAATCTATCCTGTTCATTTATTCCTAACTTCCTTTGTCAGCAATCCTTAAATTACTCCAGTTTAATGTGCAAATTTTGTGAA